TAAAAAATGTTGACAACAGTTAAACAACGGCATCAAAACATGCTTTATATTAAATAAATGAAAATTCAAAAAGTAAAGTTATGTTTTTATATAGCATATTTTTAAGAAATATTATGGAAATTCATTTGAAATTGTAGTAAAAAAATGCGTTAAAAATATCATGATTTATCGTGATATTTTTATGGAAAAAATCGTGATATATCACGATACGAAATTTTTGCCAATACCCATCTCTACTATTTAGTGGTGTTATGTAATCCCAATATAATCCCAATACTGTATATAGGGAAATTTTCGCCCCCGTTTTATTTTCGCCCCTTTCGCCCTAGACATAAGTGGGCGAATTTAAGACGGGGCGAATTCAAAGAAAAAAGAATAATTTCTTAAATAAAACTGTGACTGGGCAAAATTAAAACGGGGCAAAGTTGTTTGCAAGTGTAAAAAGGCAAAAATAACACGGGGCGAAAATAACCCTGTATACAGTAACTATTTTGTTATACTGTACTAAAACAATGTCATTTCCTAGTAGAGCAAACAAGAAACAAATCAAAAAATAATTTAAAAATTAATGCAAGGTGTTTTCCGCCTTCATTGATAGAGTTTGGTAGATGCAGATCTGTACCTTGCTGGTCTGAAAAAATTAGGATGGATGACCAAAGTGACAATGCCATCCACTGAAACAATTGTATACGTATTTATTGTGCACAAGAAGGTGCATCTTTTCTCAATTTATTTCTAGTTTTCTACATATACAGTTGAACTTCGATATCTCTAACACCATGGATTTGGAAGTCCCAACCACTTATTCTTCAAGTATTTTACCCTCGATATCTCAAATCATAGGATATCCCGAAGTTTTTCCTCAGTCCCATCCAGTTTGAGATAACAAGATTTGACTGTATTTCAAAATATTACTATTACACCATGTGTTTCTTACACAGTCTTTTACTACTTCCACAACAAAACTGTATGTAAAAGTCATGTACTAAGTGCAGTTGGTCTAAATTGTCTTGCCACACAAAATGGCAGCATAAATTGGTGAAATTTTCAATGGTGTCAATTTCTGGCCCAGGAGGGCTATTAACAACAGTTTTGGGGAATGTTTTATTGTGGAAGTGGTGAAAAATATGTAAGAAACATATGGTTTGTAAAATTTTGAGATGGCAACTGAAATTTACATAGAAATGAATCGAAAAACAGCGCACTTTTTTGTGCAATAAATATACATTTTTTTCAGTGGGTGGCACTGCATGTAGCTCTCTGCTCGTCCATCCTAATTTTTTTCAGCCCAGCGAGGTACAGATCTCCAGCTAGGAGTTTGGGTACTTGGGGATAATATTAGCAGGTCTGGTACAATCACTAGATTTAGCTACGTAGGTAGAATTACCTACCATAGCTTTAATTACCTACCTCAGGTAGCTTTATTTAGCTATTTCAATCCAATTTTTCACATTTTGCTTTTTATTTAAAAAAGACAAAAAATCGCAAGTACAGGTAACTCTCGAAACCTCGAAGTCCGCGGGACCGAGGAAAAACTTCGAGAGATCAAGAGTTCGAGTTTTCAAGAGTCCGGAATTTTCCGGGTTTGTTGACAGGTTTTAAAATTAGTCTTACCGGATATAATAATTTTCATGCAGTGCTTACCTTTTACATGTGGTTTTTAGAAAACAACGATATTTTTTCGTAATTCAGATGAATATTTCATTAAACTGAGTAAAGCAAAAAATGTATATCGTCATATCATGTATATTTATTTATTCTTTGTAATACGGACATCATACTACGCATTCGTTACATGAAAACGACATTTTACAGCGTCGTACATGTATATTACTTTGTCTATTCCAAACATGATCATTGAACACAGTTCTGTAAGTATTTGTCCAAGAAAAGTCGTCATATTGACATTGAGGCTGTTTCTGCTTTTTTCATATTTCGTTAAACTTTGACACTGACTCGAAATAAAAATTAAATTAGTGTTTTGTCTTTTAATAAATTACTACTTTTCAATGACACTGCGTCTCTAAATTATCTTAAAACAGTCGATGATAATTATTTTAATAGCATATAGGCAAAATATGATTCATTATAAATCAATTATCACCTTGCAGCATAAGTGTCACCTGAATAAACATCCTGTCCCTCGAGACCCGCGTCTTCTGCCTGGGGCCATTTAAATGTCCAGGTAAAGGTGCTAATTATATAATCTTGTATACACATAGCCACTTCGAGGTATCGAGGGTAAATTCTAATAGAATATGCATAGCGGGACTGCATTTTGACTTCGAGGGATCAAGGGTTTCGAGATATCAAGAGTTCGAGAAATCAAGAGTAAATTTGCTTAGTTATATAGTGGAAAAATTCGGGACCGGAGACTCACTTCGAGCGATCAAGAACTTCGAGAGATCGAAGTTCGAGCCATCAAGAGTTACCTGTATATGACTATTAATATTTATACTAGGGATATTTAAAAAAGCAATCTAAAGCAGAGATAGTTTATACATTGCTGCGTTTGAACACTTTTAAGCAAAAGATGTATTTCTATTGTTTGAGTAACTGTCCACCACCTTGTGTGCTGTGAGGCGTGGATAAGTATGATCACTTCACATTGTGTTGAATAATTACCAATCCATTATCATGTTAACCAGAACTGGTCTTCTTTGTTATATCATTCAAGAAGTAACTGTTAGGTAGTGATGGGAATTGGTAAGAATTTCATAATCGACAATTGGGTTACTGTAACTAACTAATTATCAGTTATAATCAGACATTTACAAAGTCTGTCAATTTACTTCAATAAATGGTAAGAATTGGTGAATAACTACTTTCTGTCATAGTCCAGCTGTAATTAGAATAATCTAACTGTGTCTAGGGACAAGCCCTAGTCCGTAGGACAATATCAATATAATGATAGAACATTCTATCTAGTCCAGCTGGTTCTTTGTTCATTTTGTAGAATCCAAAGTACGTCCATACCCAGGAATGAGCATTTTTACCTGGGTATGAATACAACGTCTGTTCGTCTGCGCCATTACGATACCATACACAAATAAGTTAAATGACAAGTTGCGGCTGGTATATTTGGCTTAAAAACTGTTATGCTTGTAAAACAAAAAAAATAACCCGATTAATCGGAATAAAAATTTTGTAATCGAGCGTTTGGATTATGTCAACAATCGACTGATTTTCGATTATAATCGATGATTGGAACACCACTACTGTTAGGTCACAAATTAACTGTTGTATATATATAGCCCTAAAGCTTTCAGAACTTTGACTTCAATTGTGCAGAAAAGGACACATCTTCAAGAGTGATTTTTTCATGAATTGTTTTCAGATGAGTTTAAAATTGTAAATTATCACTGCATCAAATTTTGATTTTCTGTACATTAGGGATGGGTATCCCCTATAATTTCGTATCGTGATATATTACGATTTTTTTCCCAGAATATCACGATAATATTGTGATATTTTTACACACAATTTTTACAACAAATTTTAATGAATTTCCGTAATATTTCTTACAAAGATGCTATAAAAACATAGCTTGACTTCTTAAATTTTTATTTTTGTAATATAAAACTTGTTTGGATGCCATTTGTTTAACTTTTTTCAACATTCTTTACACTTCCTGTAATTGTTATTTAATAGTAACAAATACATGAATAATTTCTGGAATTTATAATTATGTACCAAATACCGGTATTTTAGTCTCCGTATCACGATATGTATCACGCAATAAAAAATCACGATATACCGGAATACCGATAAAATCGCGCATCCCTACTGTACATCCTGAGAAAAATGATAATTCAAGAAAAAAGTGTGAATTGGTAGCTAAATAAAGCTACTTCAGGTAGGTAAATAAAGCTATGTAGGTAATTTAACCTACGTAGCTAAATCTAGTGATTATACCAGACCTGATTAGTTAGAATCCGGGATGTTTCGCGCCGATTCTGTTTCGCACTGAGATGGTTCGCGCCAGGATGATTCGCGCCGATTTGGGCGCGAAACATCTCACATTTTATTTTAAACATTTCAACACATTTTCATCTGTTTTAAATTATTTATCAAATATGATATAAATATTTTGTGTGCTCAAATTCATGACTTAATAACGTCTGTTATAGTTAAGGATCGTACGGTGCCCGTTTGCTCAGCCTGTCTGTTCAATTCAACAGTGTTTCAATGAGGATTTAATTGTAATAAGTTGGAGATCAAAAGTAAAGAATTTAAGTTGATGTGTGGGTTGTCCAAGCCAGCAATAATTACTTAATTATATGGTGGTATTATAACATATTATCTACTTATACATAATTAGAACGGTGTTATAATAATTCATAATTATGCTATGTATGTATACTTCAAACACAGACATAAATAATTTACGTCTCTGCTTCAAATAAAATCTTCTTAAATTTAAAAAAAAAATGTTCCAAAAATATCTATATTTACATATATTTAAAATCTAAAATGTTGTTAAATGAACTAAACTCAGTAGCACATTTATTTGTGAAACATCGTGGGGCGAACCATCTCAGCGCGAAACAGAATTGGCACGAAACATTGGGGGGTGAACCATGCATAGGTGTGAAACATCCCGTTACCATTAGTTATCCAGGTTCAATCAAAGGTGTACGGGGATTTACTAAAGGTTGTATTCCATACATAGGAAAAGGTGATTTCACATTAGATATGACGGATACAATAGATTAACAGATTAAGTGTAGGCCTATATGCATGATATGTTGTTAAATATATGTTGTTGTCTATTTTTGAGGCATTCTTGAACTTGACTGTTATATTTTCTCGGCATTTCATTGAACATTTTCAGCATGCATAAAATGACATCAAGATCGCATTTATTAACAAACATCGCAGAGTTTCCCGAAACCGACGGAGTTTGGGTAGTGACGGATTTAGGGAGGGGGGAAATAAACCAGGCACCTGTGATTTCATCGATAATTTGTTATCATATACCGGTGCAACTGTGCACTCACCCTGTAGATAACAAATATCTCTGTTTTACTGAAAACCTTTGCGATCCATTTTCTCCTGACTTCTCAGTCTTCTGTTATTTTGTTTTGGTTCTTTCTTCCCGCCACCATCTTTTCCTCTTAAAAACGCTTGACATTAAAACGAATAATTTTAGAAAATAATATAATTATTTGAAGCAGATTTAAATTCAAAATATGCTTATGATTTAAAAGAATTATTAATTTTAATTTTAAGAAGTGTTTTTTTTTTTCTATCTTTGACAATTTTAAAACTTCAACTATGATTTTTTTCCGTATATTAGTGACACCTTTAGAAACATTGAAAAGATCAAGATCATGAGCATATTTGTTATCTTGAAAGTAATTGAATGTTTTAGGAATTTTACGTGGCAGCTTTAAAAGAGAATTAGGATTCATATGTTGTTCGTTTTAACTGTGTAATTTTTAAACTCGATATTAACTGTACAGAGCGCCTTTATAAATCTTCTACCACTGCAAGAGACCATGTAGCCAGTGTAAACAAATGGAGGAAATGCGGAACCTTGTTAAAAAAGACAAGTATAGTCATGCATCTACATAATGTTTTTTGAGTAATAATGGAATTTAATGTAATTGTTGTTAGGAATCTTTTGTAATGAAAAACGTTTAAGTCTATAACTTCGTCTTATTTTCTTAAATCTGGAAAGGGGATTGTGCAACTAAAAATATGCGATTGACAGATAACCGGGTACAAATTTATTTTGATTGTAGATTCAGGGAAATGAAGAGTGAATGAACCATAGTACTGTAGCAGATAACCATAGTAAGGTATAACTTGTGTTGAGGAGTTGTTGCATTTGGCCAAGATAAATAAATAGTGTGTTTCCTATTCCAACCCAATAAAAAATAGGGTTGGTAGGTTAAGGGAGAACATTTTATTTTAACATTTTATTAGTTAAAATTCAACTTTGACAATAAACAAAATGAGAAAAACAAAGAGTTCATTTCTGTTTCCCAAAAGGGTGGCTTACTAATGGCATTTCTGTTTAATGTGTATAGGATATGCATTTCCTCAAACACTGAAGTGATCGAGATTCCTAATAGTGAAAATGGAATTGTTTACTTCCGGAAAGATATCAGCAGATAAATCTTCATGGTCGGCTCATATATTTTAGGGTTGGTCACGGAATTAGGTACATCTCCATGAACCTGTCAAATTTAGGTTACTAACGAACAAAGACCCCGATGAATTAAAATGTTTCCATAGTAATTATAAAAATTTAAAAAAAAACATCCCTTTGGATGAAAAAAAGGACCCATGAGATACTGCATTGAACATAATAATAATATCATACATGCCAACTTTCCCGATTTTGGCGGGATCCTCCCGATTTTACCCTTTGATCCCGCTCTCCCGATCGGGAAAGCAAAATTGCCCTAAAATCCCCATTTGAAAAAATTCAGCCTAAAATTTTCGATTTTCAGAGTTTCCCTACCGCAATATTTTGTCAATCGGGATTAGACTATCAGACTTGTTTATTCAATGCATACAGATTAGTCTCTTTGTCTAACTCATGCAGAGGTGTTAATTAGGCACAGGAAATCACTTCTCACTTGAATGCACACAGCTATCCACATGGTCCAGGTACAGGTAACATAGCCTGGAGCTGTTAGGGGATTAAACTTTCAGTCAGAAGGGGTATGCATAGTGAAACACATAGATTTAGGGGTTAATTATAATAAATATCATTTTATTAAAAAAAAAAAAAAATTAAATACAGTGATATGAGCTAACAACAAAAACGGAATTAATCCATGTTGATCGTTTTTTAAAGACAAAAAAAGAAAACAACAAAGCATAGCTGCTGATTTTATCTGCTTGTAATAAAAATATTGTTAAGTTTACCGGTTAAAATTTGATGAAAATAATTTAGATGAAACAACAAAGTCTTATACATACCTCAAGTACACTGAATCCCCCCCCCCCCCCAATGTAATATGACAAAAGATTATCTACACGACACTGTCAAGATTATGCAAAAGTTCAACATGATTATAAAAATTTTATTTTTTGTTTGGGATAGGGGGTATCCTTGTTTTAAATAATTGATGATCTCAAGAGTAAATTTATTTCTTCAAATTAATCATCATGATGTCTACTTATTAATAGGGAATAAAATGACACTTCTATTTAAAGTACATACCACAATAAATTTTCTTTCTCTCTCCCCCTCTCTCTCTCTCTCTCACACACACACACACACACAGCATTGCATTTTTCAATATTTCTTTCAATTTAATGTCTAATTAGGAAATTGTAATTGTGTAAAATGTAAATATAGAATTTTACAAATGTTTCCCAGAAACTGTACAGTAACAAAACCTCATATATTTCTAAAACTTTGCAAAAAAATTTATTGAACTGAAAGTAGTATATTTTCACATTTTTCACCAAATTGTGTGTCTTTTTCAAACATAATGTTGTTAAACTAAACAGAGAGGTACCTATTTAAGCAAAAGATATTTGAATTTTGGAAGGAAAAAATTTGTTTGTATTATTTATTCTTAAATTGTATTAACAAGTGAAATTGATATTATAAATTAAAAAAAAAATGGAATAAACATTTATTTTCACGACAAAATGTCGCGAATTTAAAGCTTTAAAAATTGTCGTCACGCGCAAAATCCCCCATGGGAATTTTCAAAAGTTGGCATGTATGTAATATCATCTTTCATTGTTGAATCAGTTAAGGTTTTCTTTTGTCTGTAGCATTTTATGATAGTGTATTTATTTTTCAGTGTTGCTGCCTTATAGTTACACAATGTTGGTGGAGCGATACCGTCCGATACTCTTTATTATGTACTTACTTCTACTTGTGGATCTCTTCATGAACTCTTTTATTGAGATGTTACGATTTGAGAACGTCATCTTATTAGTGCTTTATGTGTAAGTAGATTTCATTGTTAAACAACTTGATATTGACTGAATATAACTTTGTTATGATTCATTAACGTCACTTTTAACAGGATTAAGTGTTCACTTGGACATTGGGATGCTCTTCTCAGTAAATGGCTTTATATCATGCCCACTGCCCTGCATCACGCTGTAAGCAGTGTAATTGATAACATCTACAAACACCACTGAATATTTGATGATATAACATGTAAGGTACAGTTGAACTTCAGTGTCTGGAATACCGTGGATGTGTCAGTTGAAAGTGTATTGGAATCCTATTTTTGCCTAGATATCTCAAATTCTCAGATATCTTGAAGTTTTCTCTAACCCCCATCATGTTCCAAATAATGAGGTTTGACGTTGTAATTGTTTTTAACAGAATTAAAATTTTAAATACATTACATATTTTAGATTTCTTTTTTTTTTTTACAGTATCCAGGATGTGTGTATTTTGTTTGCTGTGATAGTCGTTTTTCTCCTCTTCTTCAACACGTACATCTTCCAGGCGGGCCTTGTAAACATCCTCATAGAAAAGTTCAAGGTCGCCATAGGAATCACCTTTATCTATTTTGGCCTCAATGTTGGCCTTCATGTTTGGGAGATGGTACTTTTTTACTTTCAGTTTAATACTCATTCTTGCAGTAAACCTCAATAACTTGGATTTTTTTCATCCACTTGCTACTTTCATTTTCACTTGCCCCAGATGTTAAGGCTAAAGAACAGATTATCCCATTTATAGCTAGGCCTATTTTACCAAACAGAAAAATCTTGTCTGTGTGAATAATTTCAGATTAATTTTAACAGTACACTGGGCATTTCAGATTATAAATCCTTATGTTGACATCTTTTGATCCTTTTTTTTTTAAACGGCAGAATTTCATGAAGTATTTACATATAAAAAATATATTATGAAGCAAAATTTTTCTGAAATATTTAGAACTATCTGATTTAAAGCAAATTTACAGGTGTCACTTCTATTTTTAGACCCTGAGATGGGATGAGCCAAATCTGTACATCTGGGGAACCCCGGGGTTTATACCTCTCTTTGTGATCCAAAGAACAGGTAAGAAAAATAAGCTTAAGGTAAAAAAAACTTTAAAGCAGATAAAATCCTTTTGTTTCTGTAATGATCCCAATGTAAATATAACTCGGACTTTCTGACCAGTTGCATTGTTTAAATGTTACTAAAAATCTCCAAACCATTATACAGTTCATCTTTGGTACAAATCTTTTAATGTGTATGTACAGTACATGTACTTTTTAGTTTTATAATACCAGCCCAATTTTTTAAAACAACCAATTTTTAAACACATATTTCCATGGGATTTTAGATACTGTATAGGGGGAAAATAACTCGGGGTGTTAATATTCGCTATATTCACGGTGTTGATAAATCCGTGAATTCAAGAAACAGTGAATAAGTTTTCAATAACTTCCATGCTATATTTGGTAATTTGAGAATAGATACGATAGGTACATATATATATATGTAGATGCAGTACATGGTCATTCAGTAATTACGAGAAATAATTGTCATTCAATTATTTTAATTATCATGCTTTACTTTAATTCAAATCAGCAGATAATAACCTGTAATCATTGTAAAAAAAAAAAAAAAAAAAGAAGCTGTTTTACTAGACAACGCTAAATGTCTCATCGATCAAAACACATGGTCATGGGTTTTGATTACCCGTGCGTATCTAACGTTACTATGTGAATTTATTACCTGCATTATAAACTACGCTAGGTATAAAAACGTGCAGTACATGGTCATTTCAGTAATTACGAGTCGTACTTGTTATTCAGTTGTTTTAATTATCACGCTTTACTTTAATTTAGATCAGCAGATAAAAAAAACTGTTTCAATAACAATGTTACATGTTTCTTCTATCAAAAGACGCGGGTCAAGGGTTTTGATTATCCTTGCGTAACTATGTTATCACGTGTATTTGTTACCTGCATTATCATGCGTATTAGTTTGTATCGACATTTTGGTTTTTATAAATCACTCAGATAACTATCAAACTTGCTGAAGATGTGGAATTATATTATTTCGTCGACTTACATTAACACATTTTTTACCGTCCAGTAGTTTTTTCGCCGCGATGTATTATACCTTCGGAAAGATATTAGGGTGTACATGCACTCATGTAATAGCATATAGGAAAGATAGTAGAACTTTTATTAACTGCACTTGTTTTAAATAGTCATCAATTAATTATTAAATCTAACTATTTTATATAAACATACCCTGCGGTTGGTGAAGTGAATACATGACGCTCATGGCCGTAGGAACCGGGGGGGGGGGGGCATGCCCCCCAATAATTTTGCCAATATATAGAATACTATAGAAAACTTAGCTACTATATGCTTGTGCCCCCTCAATAAAAACTGCTGATGACCTTTTTTTTTTTGCTTGTCAAGGAATTTTGGTAGTTGATAGTGCCCCCCACTGAAAATGTTTGGCTGGGCCCCCCCCCCCCCCAACTGAAATTGCTTCCTACGGGCCTGACGTTGATTAACGTCGTTCTAGCTTGGTATGGATTAAACATATAAAGACAAGGGAGGTAACTTATTATATACCAATTCCGCGAATTCAACAAACCGCGATCGTGTCAGAGGAGAGAAAAACGTGAAAATTACAACCCGTGAAATTAACCCTCTATACAGTATGCTTTTCCTGTACAATGATTTATCAGAATGTCTTTGTTTTTCTACAGGCGCTGTCCTGTACTACTATTTCTATAAGAGAACAGCCCTACAGCTAGGAGACCCGAGGTTCTACCAAGACTCAGAGTGGATCAGGAAAGAGTTCGAGAGACGAAGATAGCCCCGAGTACAGAAAGGGTTCTTATCTATGAAAGACAAAAATAACTCTGCAAAAGTTTCGGAAGAAATCTTAGCTGTTATTGTGATTTTACGCATAAAATCAATTTGGATTTTTTGCCAGTGATATTAGATATATAGATTAAATATATACAGTATATATACTTAATTCAAGACTTTTGAAATGTTTTATAATGTTGATATGAGTACTTGTAGAGTATCGTTTTGTATGTAGGTGCTTGAAGTATGACTCTGGTGTAATTTGATCATTGACTAATACAGTTTATGTACATAATTATGCTTAAAAATCATATAGTAATAAACAATTATTGACTAAAGTAAACATATATATGGGGATTTTTTTTGTTGTTGATTTTTGAAGATTCTTGACCACACATTTTTAGGGCCCTGTGGCAGAATGAGAGTGCCGTTTAGTAATCAGCGTAACTGACTAAATGTCTGTCCATTTGTTTGTCCATTAAAACTTACAAGTTTATGATTTTAAAATTATGATTAAATTATTGAAATATCTTTTAATAATACGGCCCCAGGATCATGAAACAGACGTAGACTTAAGTCAAATTTTCGATCGGCTGTAAAATGTTTATTACACATGTAATAAATGAATTAATCTCTAAATTTGCAAATAACAACACTTTTGTGAAGCAATATTGAAAATATTTTAATTTTGGTCTGCTTGACTTCTACAAAAGTTTAATACAACATAAAAATTTTGTCTTAAGCTTAAGATGTTTCATGATCTCAAGACCATGCATAAACTGAAAACGGACTTAAGGAAGCTCTAAACTTTTAAGAAAAATGCTTTTTGGACTTCGAGAAAAATATATCATATAAAGGTGCAGGTATTCAGTGTATTTAGTTCATTTTTAACATAGGGTGCCTGCATGCCTTATTTCTGCAGAAAAAAATGTTCAAAGACAATGAACATGATGAACTATTTGTGAACAGAAATCACTGTTGTTTACTTGCATCAGCAAAATTAATGGAAGTAATGTATTCAATTACTTAATCTTGCTCTAACATAACATTAAGAACACTTTAATTCATAAGAAATTGTGTCATTAACTGTAGATTCCCATTTATTCTATTTTTCTTCTAAGGGCAGATCACTCTAACTCAATAAACTACCCTACAAATAGAACTCTTTTGTGTGCAGTGTTTAGAGCTTCCTTAAGTCAAAATTTCAAATTAATATACATGTAAATATTGAAATAACTTATTTGTGTTGGTATATTATGCTCACTTGCAAGTTTTAAAACAATTTTCTTACCGCATATACTCGCCTCTAAGTCGGTTCTTTGGGAGTTAAATTTTGATCCAAAACTCTCTGTCTGACTTATAGACGAGTCATAGAAAGATTGGTATTTTTTTGGACGACGAAAGGTAGTATTTTATAAATAATCCTACTGATTATCGTTGAACAAAGTCTTTATATATTAAATCATTTGATATGTATTCTAAGATTATGCATAAAGTACAAGTATTTATAATTTTTAATAGTTTTATTTTTATCCTAAGTGTGCATTACTTATTTTTTAATGATTTAAAATATTAAATATCGACGTCATTTTTTTTTTTAAATATTGATTGAAACCGGGTTAAAACATCAAAGCACTGATTTGAAATTGTCAACCAATTTTAGCAAAAAGTTGTACCGACTTATAAGCGGGTCAATGGCAAATACCCCCAAAATCACTGCCAAAAATACAACCGACTTGTAGGCGGACCGACTTATACGCGAGTATATATACGGTAAATAAAATTCAAGATATTAAAAATCAAAGGACGAGGACGCTTTTGATTGGCATTCGGCAGGAATCTGGGCGCACTTGAAAAGTGAAAATTTCATTGTTCTGTCACATGAAGTTTTAGCATTCTTTTGATGTATCGGGTTCCAGTGAAATAGGAAAGGGAAATATTTTCCCGATATTGTGTTTTGATTTGCTAAAAAATAACTTGAAAATAGGCTAGATGAATCATTTGGTACAAGATATCACTTTTTTAAACACAATTTTTTAAAAATTTGTTATCTCTGGGTCATCTCTCCATGATTTTCAAACGTTATTTGTATGCATTCTAATTCAAAGAAACAAACAATCATTTGTAAAAAATGGAGAGAAGACCCAGAGACCATAAAAAATGAACTGTTTTAAAAAAAATTCCAATGTGTAAATGCGATGCAATGTTGTTTTCAAATCCAAGTTGTATATGTAGTGATGATAGCTCAGTAGTATGCGTTACCTGTCCAGTGCAATGGAGTCGTTAATATTTTTTATGCCCCCATATCGAAGATTCTGGGGTATATAGTTTTTGCCCTGTTCATCCGTCTGTCTATCTGTTCACAAAAACTTTATCCTTGCCCATAACTTTTGATTGGTTGGAGCTATGATTTTCATATTTCACATGTGTATTCCTTGTGACAAGACCTTTCTTTGGGTACCATCATATTTGACCTTTTGACCTTGACCTTGGAGTTTGACCCCCTTTTGCAAAATTTTATGAGACTTTAACCTTGGCCATAACTTTTGAACAATTAGTGCTTGGGCTTTCAAACTTCACATGTGTATTTCTCGTAACAAGACCTTCCTTTGGATACCAGCAACTTTGAACTTTTGACCTTGACCTAGGAGTTTGACCTACTTACAAAAAAACTTTAACCTTGGCCATAACATGAACGGTTGGTGCTAGGGCTTTCATATTTAACATGTCTATTCTTTGTGACGAGACCTTCCTTTAAGTATCAACAACTTTGACCTTGACCTAGGAGTTTGACCTACTTTTGGAAAACTTTAACCTTGGCCATAACTTTTGAATGGTTGGTGCTAGGGCTTTCATACTTCACATATGTAATCCTTGTGACAAGACCTTTCTTTGGATACAAACAACTTTGACCCTTTGACGTTGGTCTTGGAGTTAGACATACTTTTGGAAAACACCAACCTTGGCCATAACTTTTGAACGGTTGGTGCTAGGGCTTTCATACTTCACATATGTAATCCTTGTGACAAGACATTTCTTTGAATACCAACAACTTTGACCCTTTGACCTTGATCTTTGAGTTAGACCTACTTTTGGAAAACACCAACCTTGGCCATAACTTTTGAATAGTTGGTGCTAGGGCTTTCATACGTCATATATGGAATCCTTGTGACAAGACCTACCAACAACCTTGACCCTTTGACCTTGGAGTTTGACCTATTTTTGAAAAACTTTGACCTTGGACAGAACTTTTGAACAGTTGGTGCTAGGGCCTTCATATTTAACATGTCTGTTCCTTGCAACAAGACCTTCCTTTGGATACCAACACTTGTAATCCACTAATAACATATAACTAAGACTTTCACATTTTCAGTAATTAGTTGCTGAAATGTCCTATATGTCCGTAAGATCATGGCACAAAATAATTTCTCAATCTATTAGTCTAACACAAAATCAACAGGATTTATTTTGATTTTAAAGGAACTATGCATCATGAACACACTCGAATTCTTTTTCCTTGTTTAACATTTTACTACAAAGTGATTTTGAGTATTGGAATGGATGCATTCATTTTGACTATGTGATTGACGATAAATGTTCTACATTCATGGACAGTGAGTACCATCTGGCAATTTTTCTCGCGATTTGCACCATACATCTGTGCGAACAAATACTACGTCAAGAGCATAACCATCCGAATTATTTGAATCTGTTGACAGCTGTGAATGCTCAAAATACCCACCAATTTCTTTAAAGTAGTCTCTCAAAGCTTTAAGATTTTTTTTCGATTCGTCAACTACTATTTGATGACCATCCCACACTCTGTATTCAATGGACCATACATCAACAGTAAAGACACGAGATTTAAGTCCAGGTTTCATAGATTGTAAAATAGCCATTTCCGCTCCTTCTACGTCTAGTGAATAAAAATCAATATGATGGACTCCTATTGTGTCCAAAACTTCCTCCAAACTGAAGCAAGGAACAGTTATAGTGTTTTTTCGGTCAAGCATTTTCATGTGATATTCATTAATGTGCTCTGCAACTCCCCCTACATTACCACCTTTTATAAATGACATATTTTGTTGATTTCTTGCTAAACAAGCGCATAATCTCCATGCGTTTCTTTTCAACTTGTCTATCTTTTCACAGAACTCAGGATTCCCCTCGATCAACAGACCAGTCCAACCATGTTGTCTCTCCAGCCAAAGAGTATTTGACAAAAATTCTCCATCATGGGCTCCGATATCAACAAAAAATCCTCTTTCCTTTCGAAGAATTTCAAAAACAACTTCATCTTGCTTTACCTGTGAATACCGTTTATCTTTTTTTCCTGTGTGTTGATGTTCCTCTTGTGGAGGTAATAGTACTTGTCTCGGAATTTTTTGTACTGTATCAAATTTCTTAAAATTCTGCTTTGTACTTGTAATTTGATTGGAGAAATTGTGATGCTGGTAATAGACAAAACATAATAAAACCCCCCAGCAAATCAAACTGTACCACACTGCATTGGATCGGCATTGTATTTTCATCTTAAACCTGCAATCAGAAGAGAAAATTATAAATAAAAGAATGAAAAGTGTGTGTGTGTGTGTGTGTGTGTGTGTGTGTGTGTGTGTGTAAATTAAACTAATTGAACTAAATCTTAACATTTTATAAATAGTGTTTGCTTTGTGGAAATTTGGGAGTGGGTTAGTTTATGTCCTGTGTGAAAATATGTCATTCTACCCAGATCAAAATTTTAACCTTCCAAATCTTTTGAACCAAAGAACTAAGGACTTGAAATAAAGCAGAGTAATAGAAATATATGTATCTTTTTTCATCAAATTTTTAATTCCCAAGCATTTTTGAAAAAGAAAATTAAAATTATTCCGCGGGTATGTTGAGGCTATGCAAAGACATTCTACTTGCCTATGCTATATGACGTCATAGTAAGTTATACGACATTAACTTTAGAGATAAAGATTTCTTAAATATCTTTATTATATATTTGTTATATAATACAGGTTTTTTGCATCCCTGATATGAACACAGGCACGCGCCCTGTATTACACACCCTGTATCAGCACCCTTTATTTCACCCTTTATCACACCCTTTATTACACCTTTCCGTAACATCTCTGTATTTTTCATTCGGAGTACCTCGGATCTTTTCCTATTTCTTTCCAAAGTTTATTCAAATTGTAATTTTATTTCATGGGACATATTATGTTATTCAAAATAATTATTGTTTGATTTATAATAATTTCATTTCGTATCGCTGAATGCATTTATTTGCCTAAAGTTAAAAAAGATTGAGAAACGGAAATTCAACAAAAACAGAACACATTCAATTATTAAAAATTCAGTAATTAATTTACAAGTTTATATATGATTTTTAGGACACTATTTTCAAATACATAATAAAAACAACAATACATGAAAAAATCTGTATCACACCCCATATCAACCCTCGACCAATATCAGCCCTCTGGCCTTCGGCCCTCGGGCTGATATTGGAGTCTCGGGTTGATATGGGGTGTGATACAGATTTTGCCATGTATTATTCTCTATTTATTTAACGATTTATTTCAGGTCCAAGAAATAATGGAAATATGCAAAACATAATGAATTAAAAGGAATATCTCTTGATTATCTTGTGCGGTTAATGAGGAATTAGAAATTAAGATTCAGGTACGCTGATTTATTTTGATCTTTTTTTTTTTTTTCTTATACCGAAGACAACCAATGTTTTCAAATTTTAGTCTTTCCTCTGTCGTTCTTAACAAAAATGATGCAAAAGTTCAATAGTATGCCTCATACTTTGAAAAATAATTTTTGTTTATATCGAAAGTTTGTATTCTATAGTGCTTGAAAAGTGCTGCTAGAATCGTCACTCGTGTGATTAACATGAGTTAAAAATTCTTCGATCCTATGTATACACAATGGAAACGCGTCTCCATATGAGTGAAAAATTCTCGAGAGGCACGTTAAACAACATACAAACAAACAAACACAATGGAAACATTTTGATACGGTTTCATGCGAAAGTGTGGAATAATTATTTCTGTGACAGGAAAGTAGGATTCTAGCACCACCTTTCATGGCACATACGTAGCGGTGTTCCAATCATCGATTATAATCGAAATTCAGTCGATTGCTGACATAATCCAAGCACTCGATTACAAAATTTTTATTCCGATTAATCGGGTTATTTTTTTTTTTATTATTTTACAAGCGTAATAGTTTTTAAGCTGAATATTCCAGCCGCAACTTATCTTTTAACTTATTTGTGTATCGTAATGGCACAGATCAGACAATTGTCTTTATACCTGGGTAACAACGCTCATTCCCGGGTATGGAGTGGACGTACTTTGGATTCTTCAAAATGAATGAAGAACCAGCTGGACCACCACAGAAAGTAGTTATTCACCCATTCTTACCATTTAATAAACTAAATAGACAGACTTTGTAAATGTTCGATTATAATTGATAATTAGTTACAGTAGCCCGATCATCGATTATGAAATTCTTACCGATTCCCATCGTTTTACATAATTGTTTTTACAAACAGAAAAGAATCGTCCCTGGTTTAGTATTGAACTTCTCATTAAGGGATATTTTTCTATTTACAGAAGTCACACGATGACGTAGTGGAGTGCTTCTTTTAGCCTAAAATTACGTCTATACAATGGATAACAATAGTAAATGTTTTATCTACGGCTTTCCCGATTAATCAGTGTTACATTTTACAAAAAAGGTAAATTCGGCGAATAATGATCTTGGTGCTGCTTTAACATGCCCGAGTCAAATTTGAATGGATGAAAAACGGCATTAGTGTGTACATAAAGGATGATGTGCCATACGGCCCCCGGTTAATTGACAAAAAATTAAATATCTAAATTTTACTCTAATTTTTGCATGCACTTAATCACTGATATGTGTATACCCTCATGGAATACCACTTTTACCGAAAATAGAAACATAATTTGGAAGATACACATGTATATGTCTTTATTTTGAGTAGGGGTACCATGTTTTCATCCAATCTCCATTGAATTTTGGCCCCGCCCCACTCTTTGAAGCCCTTAAAGCAATATGAGCTGCATTTTTGAGAATTTTTTGCTGTTAAAATGGGTTATTAAGATAAATATGTACCCAGTTTAAACCTTTTTGATCAATTAGACAGAAATAAAGTACCAAATTGTTTCAGAACAAAGGATTCTGTACAATCAAATATATAGTATTATATAAGAAATCAATATTGTACAGGACGACAATAATGTGATTTTGCTTCAATCAAAGCTTATAAATAGTTCTTACATTGCAAATATAGACAACAGAAGTTTATAAAACGTTCTTTTTCTGTCATTGAAATAGCTAATTAAAATTTTGCAACAAAACATTCTGACATCAAAGTTGCAGCTCATATTGCTTTAAAATACACGAGGCCAAGTAGGTACATTTTTTCTCCTTTGGCTAGCCACTGTATTTTCTTGAAGTCTACCTATATGCGAAAGGAGAAAAATTTACCTAACTGCGCTCACATGTTGTGTTTAAAAATTATAAAATCTAGCTGGCATTTCCCATTATGAACAGATCGATGAAACTATATTTTTTCTGACGTAAGAATAAATTCATATGCTAATTGAGGCACCAGCGTGACTTCCTAACCGACCAATCAGCTAAATGAGTTGCATTACGGGTGAGTACCACAATTTTATGCTTGAAAAAAATATTTTACTTGCTTTCCGATTGACACTTTTTATGCATTTCAGTCACAAATTAGACACGAATCAGCGATTCCCCTATTCATAATTACAAAGAATTGATTTTTAAACTTACATTGTATAATTTCATAGCTTTGTAAGGCGTTTGGTGGGCAAATTGGCTACATGTATATTCCTGAGTATCAGTGAATACTAGTTTCATGTGCATTTCTTGGCCCAAAACGATTAACGCTGCGGTTCCATGTATATTATCATGTATTAAAAAACCTTTGCTGACCATTAAAAGTTTTTAAAAGTAGTAGAGATAATGTGTAAATTGACATAAACCACGTGTCTGTGATAAAATGGAAACATGTAGTAAACCAGCACGTTTCGTCGTTCAGTCATCGGATTGGACAATTGTTCTCGGTAAGCGACTATGGGCGAAATAGTAACAATAGCCATATAAGGTATATTTCTCGGAATTGCATATCCCTCTATTGTACTATGACCCGCCTATTCTCTATTGATAATAGAACACATTGTCACAAACCAGATCGAATTTTGCTGAATCATAGAAAATGCAATAATCCTCATAATTATAGTATGCCGCAAGTATTGAAACTATTCAAAAGGCGTCGTATTTATTCACTCTTGTTTGAAAACTATCAAAATCGTTGTAGAATAAATATAATTCGTCGTAGAAAGAGGGACCCCAGTCAGTAGTTTTGGCACATCATCCTTCGAAGCTGGCTCCACTTGTGTTTCAATTTCATGAAAAAAAAAGGTATATACATATATTTAATATTTATATGACTTTCATTTCATGATCGCTCTCTTAAGTCGTATGACTTTGATATTATTATGTCTCTGTGCCGCTCTAAGAGTGTCAAATGCAGTGTGTTCAGAATTAGTTGATATACATATCTAAATGTCACCAATATTTGATTATATAAGAAATATTCTCATGGATATTCCTTCAATATCATTGCAACCAGATAGGAACATTAAAATATTTAATACATGTTTCTGCTAGAAATAAATTTTAAGGAAACTGCCTAACAACAACATATGCAGAAAGTCTATCCACATTGGCAGTTAGGGACCCTCTATACACCAATGAAAAATGTTTTTTAGGCTCTGAGAAAATGATACCATAAAGATATAAATATGGAGTTTATTTATTTAATTTTCAACATAGGATACCTGCCATTTATTCCCAGGAAAAAATACTCAATGACAATGAATTGTTGGTGAATTGAAATCACTGTTGCTTACTTAAATGGCAAAAATACATGCAAATAAGGCGTTCAATTAATTCAGCTAGACCAAATGAAATGTTTAAAATGTTTGAATTGATTACAAATTGAATAATAAATTTAGATTTCAATTTATTTCATTTTAGATCTAAGGGCAGATCACTCTAACTGCATAAAAATACCATGGAATTGGAACTCTTTAGTGTGCAGTGTATAGAGGGTTCTTATTTTTCGTTATTTTGTTATTTATTTTGTGAGAAATAAATATACTTTAATATTTTGTCTTTTTGACTGTTAACCATTAAAAATACGGTAACTACTCTCAGTGGCATTTGTGTTTTTCAAATACATCTCGTTTTTGAGCTCAGTTACTTACAAAGGATGACTGCACTTAAGGACATGCGGAATTTGCGATAAAATAAACTTTCAAAACAAGCATTTTTCTTTTCATTGCAAGAATGGTCAACATCCAATCTACAACTTTATGTAATTACGTTTAATAAAAGTGTGTATTTACGAAGTTCGAATCTGTTTTCAAGGCAGGGTTCATCACAATTTCTTGAATCTCCGTTCAATAATGAGGACGCCCACT